GATTGCGAGTTGCTGCTTCAAGAAGTAGCTACTATGGAAAACAGAACTTATATACACGCTCGTATATAATGAAAGTTTATCAAAATAAAATTATTGCATCAAAATACTCACATTTGTTGTGTTATATGAACTTTTCGCATCAATGTGAACCGCTGCCTTAGGTCTACCGTTGTCTTTGAACTCTGCAACTTGTCCTTTAGTAGGACGCAGATAGAGCACTTCGTAAAACGGCTTTGCTATACACGAGGAAACGAAAGAAGAAAAATATGACATGTAGAGAACATGATGTACGGGGAAGGAGTGGAGAGTTTCACAGAATATGTGTATGTAATATACTAAATTTTGTGAGTTATAAACCTTACAAGGACAATGTCCAATGCGGCAATGGGCAAATGTTGGTGATAAAAATTATATTGTTTATACCTTTGGTATATACACGTTAGGAAAATTTGTTTTCCACATATCGTATATAAACCGTGTACGAGACAATTTCGGCTGGTCTTTCATTTGATCGACGTACAAATGATATACTGACAGTTTTGTCAGACACGATGGGAGACACTTCACGTCGCTGTTTGGCATTGAATCTGCGAACTTGCTAAATTTACCGAACCATAGTTTTGCTATTTCGTGTGTTACAGATCTTCGACTGAGTTTGGTAGTTGTGTCAAATTCTAGGTCGTCACTGAGAGCTTTTCGGCTTTCAAAAAAGCTTCAAAAAAGAAAATGAAATTGTTAAATTGTTAAAAAAGTAAAATATACCAATTATAAAGTCGCATATATTTCAGACTTAGGGACCGATTACATGGAGCATTTTCAACCCCGGAGTTGAACTCAGCCCTGTTTACCGGGTTGAAATTTCAGCCCTGCATGTCTGTACTAGAAAACTCTATCAAAATCAAACGCGTGATTACATGACAAAATTTTCAACCCAGGGCTGAAAAAAATTTCAACCCGGTTAACAGGGCTGAGTTCAACCCCGGGGTTGAAAGTTCTCCATGTAATCGGCCCCTTACTGCTTTTCAACTGCAAATCTCGTAGTTAAATATTAAATGTAGTTGTGAAACTCAATAATTCATGAAGAAAACACAAAAAAATCATGAGCGTGAAGGACTTTGTAATATTCGACACAGAATCCGTGCAATGATTGCTTCTAAAGCACCAGCTCTTAAAAAAACGAACTTTAAGTTCAAACTGTTTATCGCTAAATATCATTCATTTATTTTAAATTGTTGCAGAATACAAATGTTCTCATCAAAATGTTTCACTCGCCTTCGGCTCGAGTTTGTATATCCGATACAACACGGCGCTCATGTTGTATAAATAGTACTTAAAATTAGTCAAGTTTATACAACCGCTCCCAGAACTCCGGGCATATAAAATTTTGTCAAGGGAAACCGCTACCTCGCATGTACGAAATCCCGCTCCCCGCGTTTGGGGTTGTATATTCTTACCATGTTTTGGAAATCCCTTGAACAGCACACCACGCAATTGGGCATATATCTACGGCGTTGAAGGTGAATCTCTTTTCACTTGGTCCTTTCCCGCCTTTGCGAGGATTTCGTCCTAGTTCTGCTTGCTCTATCATGGCATTGATGTATACTTTGCATTCGGAATGCGGTTTAGACCAAACACGTTTACGTTGCTCGCTCACTGACTGAAGCGACAATTTCTTTAAACACTGATCATTGCAGCATCGTTTTGAAATATCTTTTAATATGTTGTCCATGGAAATCTTTTGATTTTGACACTTTGATTCTTTACTTTTACTACCTATAAATAAGCATAACCATGACCACATGCACGCGGAAGTAAGTATAAATTTGGTTAAATACTTATATAATAAAGCTTGCTTATTTTCCTGCGAGGTAAACTCTACAAACTTAACAATGTTGGCCCGAAATCGAAGCAATTTTTTTCCCAGATACCTGTTCCAGTTTCGCCAGCTCTAGAATCTTCCGTCTGTAGAAAACGTTGAAAAAAATGGAAAATATATATATCTTCTTCTTATAATCTTCTTCTTATAATCTTTAATTTAAATCTTCTTCTTATATATACCAATATCAATTTTTCCTTATTATAACAAACTCATTACCAGTTACCTCATTCGTCTTTGCTGTTTTTGAATTCCAAAAATCCCGAGTTATATCCGCCAGAGGACTTCTAAATGTGTATGGATCGTCGGGCTCAACGTCGTCGGTTTCACAGCAGGACCTATTTGACTTCAGAATAATAGTACAAATATTGATATCTAAGTTTAGATATCCAAATAGAGGTATTTACACACAGTGATTTGTCGGGCGGATTCTCACATCATATTGTGTGCGAGACTTGTCAGCTCCGATAAATCGTTGTGTCACTGTGTGCAGTGTAAATGACTCATCGCGACCGCTTTATTTCAGATTTTATAGCTAATATCGTCTGAAACATTTTCAGAACGGAAAACCGAAAAAACAACGAAAGTCAAAAACTATATGTTTATTTAGTTTTCATACACTGAATACAGTCGTGTTTAATATACACGCAACCGCGAATATAATTTAAGTTGTCGTAACACCGGAAGAAAAATGTAGTTAAAAATATTTGTAATAGATTTTTCTCACGATTTTGTCAATCGCTAGATGCTGACGCAAGTACTCCCTATAAAATCGGTTGACATTTACACGCAGCGATTTATTGCAACAAATCGCTGTGTGTAATTTTCAAATGTCATATATGACCTTTATATGTCATATATATATGACCTTTATATGTCATATGAATCGATCTTATTTGTTCAAATATATACTTGTCTTTATAGCTAATGGCTGTACATGCATGTGTATATATAATGCATGATAGCTAATGGCTGTACATGCATGTGTATATATCTTTAACAAAAGCGATATAATGATATAGTCAATCATATCATGGCATAAGCTGATAAGCATGCACCACAGGAGGTAACACGACACAAAATGTATAGACACAATAAAATTTGTGTTTTTATCGAAGAGGAAGTAATTATAAAAGTGGCGCTTAAAATCCTGTACTGTATTAAATCATGAACATTGCAGTAAATAGTTATTCTTGTATGGGCAGTTACAGTACAGGATTTTAAGCCCCACTTTTATAATTACTTCGTCTTCGATCAAAACACACATTTTATTGTGTCTACTTTCTGTGTCGTGTTACAAAACTAGTTACCAATCCATTAAGTTCATCTTCCATTCTCTGAACATTCTCTTCAGCGCGATCTAAACAGCAACATTTCTCCGTACAATTACATTCCCAGATTAAATCAACGTCCTCTTCAACCAAGGAGCTATTGCCACCATCTGAACACTAAATAGCAAAAGTACAATTAGTGGAAACATTTATTATACGTTATACTAAATTATAGTCAATATAGAATGGCATTGTCACATTTTCAACATACACAGAGTTTGAGTTTTTCTTGTCGAAAGCGATTTTCATCAAACGGGACTTCTCTACTTTGTTCACCCTATAATATGCATGGTCGAGCAGAATCAACATCAATGAACATTTATGGAAGCTATAAATTTTAAACACAGTCACAGATACTTGAATATTTACTAGAAATGCTTACCTGATTCTCACTTGAACTCGTTGGACCGATCACAACATTTATCAAAACAGACAAAAGAAATAACACTGGCAATGACCGATAAGCATTTCTGCAGAACATTTTCGGCTCTTCACGATGTGATTGTGTGTCTGCAATGTTTGAATTTCCCTCCAAATCAACACGTTTTATACCTAATTAATCTGTCAAAGTATATCTTGATATCTGGAAAATATTAAATACGCACCCAAACCAATATGTGTTACAAAATAGAAACACAATAGCGCATATATGCATGACTATAAAAAAGACTATACGTTGTTATCGGGAAATATTTTTTCCTTTTAGATCATAATAAAAACAATTGCCATGTCCAAAGAAGTAAAAAATTCTGAAGATTAAAGCCCATTTCCCACTGAATTCTGCAACGTGGGTTGGTTACCTCGCTACGCATGGCCCCGCTTTACCGCGCGCTTTCTTGTCAAAAATGCGTCATATAATACCGACAAACAATTAACATATTAATTAACATACTTTTTGATATTTTCTGTGTCACTGTGCTGATCGTAAACACAGGAAATTGTTTTGTTCCAATGAACATCCCAATATTTCAGGCACCCCCGATAGAGCAGCATAAAACACTTTGAAAAATGATATTACAGAGTCATATATTTTCTATATTAGTCCAAGGACAACGGTGTCGCAAAAGCAAGTTGTTTTTCTATACTTAAATCTGCCTTATGTTACCTCCTGTGATGCATGCTTTGATATTTCCTAATTACAATAAGCCATTATCAGTAATCAGTTGCTCTAATTGAGTAAGCCTTCATCGCGTTCATTGCTAGCTTTTATTCTGTGTAGGCAAACGGAACTATATTCTATAAGATGGTATCTTGGAGCATTAAAAAGAAAGAAGATGGAGAACTACTTTTAGTCCTAGATGGCGAGGTTGTGGAAGAAAACTACGGGAAAATTTTAGATGTCTCTGTTCCTACTGAGGAAGAATACGAAGATGAGCATGTCCAGGTTAGTGTAATAAAGCTAAATTATGTTTTCGTACCAGCTTTTCTGATGAGCAGAAATTGTAATATTTAATATATATTGCCGGGGACTTTTCATGATAAAGATTATGACGCTTGACGACGTCGTTTACTCGACACTATTTTCCGGCTAACTCCAATAAGTATACACATTTATCCTCGCATTTATCATTGCAAGTCATTACTTGACTATTTCATAAACTTGGATTTTTTATACATCCGCAGATGCTGTTTTCAATGCACGGCGATGAAATATTATCATTAAATAACTTCGAGGTGTCAGAAATATTCCGCGACGTAGATTGTTGCAGTTCCCATGACTTTGTAGCCCGCTGGAACACTATTGAAAATCGATTTGGCAGCGACGATACAACAAGTGAAGATGATCCTGAGACTGGGATTGAAAGCGCAAGTGATTGGGATTTTTTTGCGTCTTTACCTCCAACGGCAAATACTTCCACTACAACAAGTGAAGATGATCCTGAGACTGGGATTGAAAGCGCAAGTGATTGGGATTTGTTTGCGTCTTTACCTCCAACGGCAAAAACTTCCACTCCTGTTAAAAATTACCCGTGCGAAGGGACCAGCACAGTGTCAGAGAGCAAAGAAACTATCAAAAGTAAGGCTAAAAGGAGAGAAATGAAAACCAATGTGTCAGGGCGCCAACGAGGAATTTTGGCCTACGAACGGGACAACAATAAGGGACTATTTCGTCAAAGTGTAGTGTTTGGAGGCGAAGGTTGGCCCCCACCGTTCAGGCCCCTGGTGCAAGAAATGCGGGATTTTCTCTTTGACGAGACTGGCCTGAAGAAAAATTGGGATAAAGAAGATGCGAATATGCTTCGAAAATATTTCTACATGAAGTATACAATTCCAGTAAGTGGAAGTTGATCATTTTGTTATATATACATGCCCTTTTTTGTTACAATTTCTACTGAAAGAAATCTGTTTCACCACATGGTTTCACTCAGGGGAAATAGTTTCTATTTATAGCACAGTGCAAACAGTTGCTCAGAAAACAAATATATATGCTTAGTTTTGCTACAATTTTCAGGCGTAGCATACGGAAACCGCTTAAATTCATATCTGACGTATTAAATCTTTTCTATTATATAATAATATTAAAATATTTTGTCATTATTTATTTTTCCATTTTAGATGAAAAACACATCAGTATTAACATTACACGCAAAACTTGCAACAATGTCCCCCAGATGTTACCAATTGGCACAAAAAGTAATGGACATGTATCAGTCCGGTCAGCTTAAACGTAAACGATCTGACGACTCTGTCTTGTTGGCTGTTCACGCGACGTATTTTGACTTTTTATATAAATACAATGTTTTAGAGCAGGAAGACGACGTGTACGCACTGCTCAATAACATTTGCATAGAAAGAAAAAGACCCGAACGAAGACAAAATTCTGGAAAGGAAAGAAAGCTCCAGGTAATAATTTTCCTAATCTAATATACTGCAGAATTTTTTGCAGGCACTGTAAATTTCTTTTCTCTCATAGACATAGCCATAGGCATACTTCACGAGCGAGTGATAGAAACAGCATGCAGAGTAGAAGAAATCAGACTCGAGCAAAAAAGGAGAATACGCGGAAATTATTTAGTCTTCTTATTGTTTTGCAGGCTGATGAAAGTGAACAGGAAGAATTAAAGGAAGTTAAAAATGCTTTAAAACTTGTTAAAGAGGTGAAATATACTCAAATTAATATTGCCTGAAATTTAATAAGCGTGAACATAACCGCGAGGGGTGTATTACTCCAAAAATCTTCGTACAGCTTCAAAAAATTCCCAAAGCCTTTAAATTAACCTAACCTTTAAATTCCTATATGTTTTGAGCGATTTTGAATTCCTGAAAAAATCTTCGTATGCGTAATACACCCTTCGAATATAACCTAATTGCCAATTCCTAAAGGTAAAGCTTCCTAATTAACCTTCCATCTTTCGATCAAATTATTTTAAATATCCAAGGAAATGAGAACAACCCAAGTGAGAAACAAAGAATTACAACGGAAAGTTATAGCATTAAGAAAGGTAAATATAGACCAATGTAACTTTACAAGTTTTCAGCAAAATAGTTTCTGTGAGACAGCATTGTTAGACATATTTCCTGTAGTCCAGTACATATATATAGTATATATATATATATATATATATATATATATATATATATAATCGTGAGTATTCCTATTATTAATATGAAATTTAGTTGAAATTTTTATATTTTTCAAAAATACAGGAACTTGTTGACAAAGAAAATACTCTATCTACTACGAATGTCCAGTTACAAGAAACAGAAATGGTATGAAACCGTATACATAGGCCTATATACTGACAAATAGCAGCATATAAAGCAAATTTGTTTTCCATAACGATTAACGTGTTTACACATAGCCTATAAGGTAAATGTGTATACTTATTCAGTACTATATATGTTGCAATAGGAGCTTCGTAAAACCAAGGAGGATAATCAATTTTTAGCTACTTCGCTTGCGACAGAGTCGAAGGTATTATTGTATTGTATAGCTTAATGATGTTCTGCTTAAAATTTGAAATTTAACACCATCTGCAACGTGTAAGTGCATCCCTGCATGATAAGCAACAAACTATGCTAGTTTATGGCTATGTCTAAAATACTTTTTGCAATTCTATAGAGGTTGTCCAATATTCGAAAGACATTTGTTGCCCTCCAGAAGGTATTTCTATATTTAACCTAACTCTATATATTCTCTATTACTATTACTATTTCATCATTTTATGTAGTTACGGCAACCTAAGCCATACAAGACATCGACCTCTACAGTTAACTGAAGCTATATACTCCTATAGTTATTTTAAAACCACAGTTAAAGCTATATACTCCTATAGTTATATAGTAGCACACATTTAAGACACACGTACCAAAAATGATATTTGTGCCGTTAATGGATCCATAATACATGCACTAACTAATATTGAAAGATTTAACATTTTTACCATTGGAAATGCACAGCATATATGCCATAGAAACATTTGAGAAAGTTGCAACGCCATATATTTAAAAGACACTGACACTTAATAAAATAGAGTTTGTTATTGAGTTTAGAAAACATATGACAATCACTGAGCTGAATGATTTATTTTTAAATAACGTACATGTCTCTGGGTTTGAAATTGTGTTCAGAAAATGTTCTTGACATAATGTAACAAGAAGTCTACGAATATTCAATAGGAAAATGAGCGTATGCGGAAGAGTCGGAGCAACGAGGTTATGTCTATGGCTGATCCTACGGCCGATAACAAGGTGTCAATTAGTGGCAATGATGATAACCTGGTAAAGTTTGGTCATTTTTCAAGCTATTACTGGGGTTTTTTCCAAATTCTTAACCATTTTAAATGATATCACTTTATAATAGACAGCCGCAATTGGTGCATTAAGATCGAGCCACAAACGAAAGTCGTCCGAGATTGAACAAATACGCCAGCACCAATCAGTTGAAAAAGACGAGCGTGCGAATTCGACAGATGCGCCGGGTTTGGCAAACGATGAAAATGAGGTAGGATATAAAAAAATATATATGCTTGTCACTATAGAGAAAAAGTTAGAGAAAAGTTAAAACAGGGAAAAGTGGTTAAAACATATGCATCCATATATTAATATACTATCAGTTACATAATTCTGTAAATGAAGTTCTCCGAAATACATTTCATTCGCTCATATTTAGATTATTCAAAGTTCAGTGCCAGGGGACGATGTTATTGGAGAGAAAGATAATGAAACGGTAATTCGAAGTTCCAATACAAATAGGAAAGTTAGAAGAAAGACACGCCTATATCGTTGGTTTTAGCGTAACATATAAACTAGCTATTATATAGTTTTAACTCGGTTCATGTTGTATTGTATTAAATGATGAATGTGCATGGATACGGCCATTCGCACTGTGTCTAAGTTCCGATTGGATTGCGATGAAGCACTTATATTACATCCACTATTCACAAATATTGTTTATACTTATATTACTCATTATATATATTTCATATATTATCCAGAGTTTAGCGGATACAGAAGGCGATACTTCTCAAGAACAAGATCATGGAACGGTAATTTCAATATAATTTGTATGTAAATATGTCACTGTCAACAATCATTGACATATGTATGTATGTAAATATGTCACTGTCAACAATCATTGACATTGCATATGAATTCTGTCTGTTTACAGGAAGTATCCATTCAGATTGGTGACTGGGTTGCGACTGACTTTGGAACAAGTACATTTTATGTTGGAAAAGTGACGAAAGTTTGTCCAGAATCAAAAACAGCGGAAGCAATGTTCTTGAAAAAGCATGTTGAGAACAAATACAAGGAGAGCAAAGCTACAGATAAAGGAGTTGAGAGTTTTGCCTTCGAGCAATTAATTTCTGCTAACCTGGATGTAGACTATCTCAATCGTGGAATATACAAACTTAATAACTACCGAGATATAGAAAATCTGCGTCTTGGGTTAAAAAAGGGTAAAAAGCAAAAACGCAATTAAATAATTATAAATGTCCTAAGTCTAAGATTACTGTCGTATTGATCTAATTGTCAGTGTTATCATAAAGTTGTATTCCCCGGTTTTGCACACGATGGACCATTTGCATGCATTATAGACTAAATTTTGATCTAGACAAAAATTTCATCACAGCTTGAAAGAGCATCACAAAATCAAAATTTTGTCTATAATGCAAATGGTCTATTGTCAGAGTTATGGTTGGGATTGCATGGGCAGTGATTGGAGTCAAGTATATTTGTATGTGCGTGAAACATGAGAATATCACCTATTATACCACGAATTACCTATAATAATAAAGCACCTAAATCTGTATGTCAAATTTCGTACGAAATCAGTTTAGTATATATGTTTATACGCTATATTTGTATACCAGTATTTGTACATAGCAACGTTTTTATTCTTTAATTAACGGACCGAATCATTAACATTTATAATGGGAGAAGTACAAGTTTATCGCACTGAAGCATATAAACGAACCATCCTCCGAGATACGAAAAACCAGTTTCATATTATTCTGACACTGCACTAATCGACCAACGAAAAATTCGTTGGCTCGAGCCGAATTTGAACTCGCAACTTCATCAACGAATTTTTCGTTGGTCGATTAGTGCAGTGTCAGAATAATATGAAACTGAAGCATATATAAATCACGGGGAAAATGACATGCAGTTTTAAAATATATTTTAAAATAAATAATAACTGTTCATTTAAATTGTGTTTTCTATATGCATGGTAATACATCAATAACATCGCGCATGAGGATGACACATATCTATTTAAATATTATTAGGTATGTATAGAATAAGTTTTGGAACGTTGTCTTGCCGCAAATAATATTTCAAATACGAATAGTTTACGCGTAGACTACGATGATACATGCGTCACACTACAGTTAATAGAAGGACATAGTTCTATGTTGTATTGGTTTATGCAGCCAAAGTGTAGTCGTTCGTTATCACGTGCACATTTTTTTAGCTGAACCATCCAAAGTTTAGGTTTATTAAGATTGGATGATTCCGAAAAATACAATGCGCACGTGATGACGAATGCTAATATTTCCATAAATCTAGACAAAAACTCCATGTGATTTCCGTATAAAGATTCCAAACATTTCTCTCTATTAACTATATGGTCACATGCATTCAGGCCCGTTTAGTGCTCTCAATATTTGGCACGGCACGAATAAAAATGTTACCCGTATACTGGTACCACCTATTTAAAGTCCTCGCGCAAAAATTCCAGCGTAGCATAAAAGGGCCATTATACATACAAAAACATTTTGAGACAAATTCGGTTTTTGGCAATAGCAATGTGCTCGTAGTACATTAAAACACTCCGAATAAGGAAGCATTAACATTACTTTATGTACTATTTAAAACACGAGCAGTTTTGCGTGGTGGCCTCAAGAAAAAGTAAAAAATTGGGAATTTCTCACCGCCACCATTCCCTCCAATTATTAATTAAGCATGCGTAGCTGGCTGTTTTTAGAGGTTGAGAGAGGGGTTGAGGTGCGGGCAGCAAATGGCGCTTCAACCCCAACCCCATAAAACCGCCATAGCTACGCAGGCTAATTGTTAATGAATTTTGTGAAATTTTACGATTCTTTAGGTTGCTATTTCCAATATGTCTCTTGATGCAAAAATAAATCGACAAATATTTATATGCGTATTGTTTGCCTTCACTTTCACGTCGCATACATACATATCACGTATCTTCCACATTCTGCGTACGGGCGAATCGATATATGATATCTTGTTTAGTTAACTCGTATTTCAATTTAATAATGATTGGTAAAAGTAGTTTTATGGGAGAGAAAGAGTATCACCATGCAACGCCTCACATATCACGGCCAATTGTAAAGCATTTTAATTTAATTTTATTATTAACTTTGCCATAGGTAGACTCAGAGGCGTTGTGGATCCCATGTTTTTTTTTGTTTGTTTTTTTTGAGGGGGGGGGGGGCAAGGGCAGTATTTTTCCGACAAACTTAGCTGGAAAAAACATTTTTCCAGACAACAGCATTTTAAATTCTCGCCCCCCCCCCCCTCGATAACAGTTTGCAAAAACATTTTCAGGTCGAGAACGTTACAATTACTTCCGTGGCACTTTTTCTGAACTACCACTCGGCGGGCCTGCGTATATGCAGGTATGCTTGACCACGAAGATTCCGACAGCATTAGAAATTTTCCGACGGGTCTCAACAATAGGGGGCATGCCCCCCCCCCCCTCTGCCACGGCGCCACTGGGTACTGCATTCACATCAAACCGAAACTACGTACAAAATTCATCACAGTGGCAGGGTAACCTCGACAGCGTAGTAAGACCAATAACAACAGGAAATGGACGAGTAAGGGAACCAGCATGATTACATTTCGGAGAACTGATTGTCTTCCATGACCATGTACGCAGTCATTTATGTTAAAATAATTGGTTAAAAAGGAGGATAATGTTAATGTCACAGATCAGTAAGTTCAAATCAATAAGTTAATGTTTTTTTTCAAGATTCGTAACAATCTTGTACCGAATTATTGAAAAGAGTTGCTACCTCCTCTAGTTTATGAACAAATCGCAATCTGATTTTACACTGTTTCCACTGCATACACAGCGTTTCAACGTTTCCTGTACGTAACCTTCATCTGTCATTTGTTTCAGAAAGGCTTTGATAGTTAATCCAACTTTGTTTAATTTTTCTATTGATAGATATTCATTTATCTGTCATATTCAAATACGTTTGGACGCGCATGCCCTTTGTAAACCATCTCCAAAATGTGTTTGTGGTTTTGAGATTGAAACCATTAATCATTTTTTTTTGCATTGTCCGATTTTTGCTGCTCCTAGACTAAAGCTGCTCACCTCTGCTGCTTGTATTCTTACTGAAAAATGGCATGCAATGCCTGAATCGCAAATAATATTAAAAACTATTTTTGTTTGGAACTTTCTGAGGATGGAAATGTGCAAATTTTCTATTTTGTTCAAAAATTTAATTAAAGATTCAAAATGTTTTCATATTCAGGGTCATGTTTTCATATTTGATCAAGTTGTGTGTTACAATGTTGTTGTGAAATGTTAAGTGAGCCCCCTAGATGAACTGTTTAACTCTTTCTCGACATGTGACATTTTTCACGGCAAGCAATATTTTGATTCAACTGTTTTATAACGTAAATATTTCAGTGCGTATTCACCCCCCTTAAAAACAAAGAACACCATTGAAATCTTAACAAAATAAGCTT